GCAGACAATAATTTCAACTATGCAATTTATAATAATTAAGCTAATTACTTACAGATTTAAAATAAATATAACTGAACTACTTGATCATAAGACCAAAAGAGAGAATCTATAAATTGATTAAAGTTTAGAAACTTGCGAAATTAAATCTTAATCTAGAAATTAAAGTTAAACAAACTGCAAGTTTGGTAACTGTGCAAAAACACAAAAGAGAAGGTAAAAAGCATTCAATCTATTTACATAAACAAATAATAAAAATGAATCCATGGAAGAAATAAAAACTAACCAAATCAACGGGGCAAACTCGCTTACAAGGTTGAATTGCTTCTAAATCCTTAAAAATTAACAAAAGCTGCAATCTTTGAAAAGAAATATGAACAAGGATGTAAACTTAAACTAAAACTAAGAACAAGAATAGATCTTACACTTTAATCTGGAAATCACATTGAAATCTAGAAGAAAAAGTTTGAAAATTGAAGATGTATATGCGTTGGGCTATTTTTCCGTAGTGCAAGTTGTGTGTATGTCTGTTTGTGTGTGCAGAACTGATTTTTCCTCTCTTTTTTTTTTTTTTTTTTTTCCCTCTCTTGCTGGATGGTTTCCTCCATGATTCTCGCTTCTGCCCCCACAAAAACTTGCATGAAGAATGCTACGTCTAACTGCAATCCCTTCCTGTCTAACAACTAGTAGTTAACTCCAAATAAATCTCCAATAAAATCAAGATAAATCTTTCTAAAATCTCTCCAATTAGGATAAACTTTAACTAGGCATATCCTACTTAGACTCTAATCACTCTATCATAATTCATTCAAAACTCAACTTTAAAATCACCTTTAAACTCAACTCAGCCCATCACAAAAAAAAGTGGCCCAATTAATCCTAAAACACACGTGGCCTTTCTCTATTTTAGATGTAAACAACACCTAATTGGTTATTACTTCCTTACCAATTCTCCACTTATACTCCATACTTTAGCCTCTAGTAGCCTAAATCATTAAACCTTTAATAAAAAATGGTGAAGTCCATTTCTAAATAGATTTCTAACTAGATTTGGGCTATAAATTTTTCTAGGTCGCATGGTTTTACCCCGAATGGGTGCTGGGTTTCACCTCTAAGTAGGCCTAGGCACAGTTTGGTTTCAGTTTAACCAAAATCAAA